GTAGTTTTAAGCGGTTTTAAGATCATGGTGGTTTTATTACTCACGCTTGGTAGAACCGAATCTTTCTGTAAAAAGTTCCCTCCTCGTTATCTCCTACTCGCCATCCCGAATTATATTGCTGGTTGATACAGCTTTGTTGAATTGTATCCTTTTATTTAATAAAGCTAGGGCAAATTTTCAGAAGTAATAATTAAACTTTTACAGTACAGTAAATCGATTTACAAAATGAGGGGTTAATTTCCTGTTATTAGGGCATTCGTGTTTGGACGTCCTATTAACTCAAGCACAGATATTTTTTGAGTCGAATATTAAGCCGATGAATTAAACGTATATCAAAACCGCAGAGGGAACGAAACTCAAGACCCCAAACTTTCTGTGCCACCCAGAAAGTGAAGGTTGTCTTCTCTTCGCGACGTGACTTTCACGTCGACGCGTATTTTATGTCACCTTCGACATAGCGATTTCTTTAATATTTTCAACATATGATGCGAAGAAATCGTGTTACTTTCTCACGCATCATAGAGGCACTATTTCCAAATAAAACTATAGCTATAGACAATTCAAAATTTCTTAGCTTAGAAATGCCAAGAAAACCAACAACAAGATCAAGCGCTTTTATTTAGTGAAAGGTACGAATAAGCTTTGCCATCCGGTGAGAAGTTTATTAATCCTCCAGAGCGTGATTTTTCAAAATAATTTCTTTGAATCACTTGCACAGGCAGAAAACAAAATTTGCTATGAGAAATCACCGTTAATGCAAGGCTCCTCGAGGGGACAAAGCAGAACATTCACTGAGGTCATTCATCACCAGCCAAATAATAAATAGATTATTTTATTAGCTCGAACTGTTTTTCAAGACTGAAGAGCAATTTTTCCGGGAAANCGCAAAATTTATAGCATCATCAGACTACGCAGCTACTTACAAGGTCATTGAATTTTTAAAAATATTTCCAAGGTTGTGATACGCAAATATACACATGACAGAACGAAACTTAAAGTTTAGCCGTCAGGAGAATAAGCAAAGTTTTGTGTTTGTTCTCAACCCAATGTTCAATGGTGATGATAGGCATTTGATGCAATTATTTATTAATAGCATATGAAGTCGAGGGTTTTAAGTAAACTTTCTCAGTAAAATAATGAAAGAAAGAAACTTTTCTTTCGCTGCTACACTTGCTTGCAAATTATAAACGTTCCGACTGAATGTATATGGTGCACTAGGAATCCGTAAAACTGCCAGAGCTAATCACTTGCAGTGGTAACCGGCACTCGTTACAAGATGTCACAGGTTCAGGGTCTACTTTCTTAATCCCAAAAGTCAAGGAAACGGCAGTAAACACTGAGACGTCTTATGGAACACAGCAACTTCTTTAATGTTGAGTAACCTTTCTAGATCACCCCTAAGTAATTCACAGCTAATACACGTGTTTCGAGCGATCCTTGGTAATCGATTTGCATCAGTTTTCACGTTATTTTTACACCCCGTTTTATATCATCAAAAGTAAACACAGGTGCTTGCTCAAAGAGGTGTAGGATTGATAACTTCAGAACATCCGATTGGCTAATTCTCAATCATCATGATAGTAACAAAACGTACACCTTTCTAGGTTCTGGTAAAGATCATTTTGATCTCTGGGCTTTGATCTAAGTAAACCAGTCGTTGTGTACCGACGTAGCTGTTCAGTTGATATGCAAAGTATCTAATGGTTAGTAATATAGACAGCCATATGTTCCATTAAAAATGTGACTGACGTTCCTTACTATTGTTACAGTTTTAACGTCACTGTTCTATCGCCTAAAGTGAACACAGTGCTCGCTAATACAGAGCAATACCAAAGCTTAATACTAATGAACGCAAGTGCAGGCTTCATAACTACACAAAATCCGATTGGCTAATTCTTAATCTTCATGATACAGT